CCCGAGTTTCCAGGGCTACTGCAAAAAACTGCATCTTCACAGCTTAATCATTTACAGAATATTCACAGCTGAGCTAGTTTGCAAGTATGTGGTAGGATATTTTGGAAAAAGCAGACTGTTCAAAACAAGTATTTCACATCATTCTCCTCCTCTTTTTTTTTTAAAATTAATTTTTGTTAGGAAATGAAGGAGGATAATTTTAAGCCAGTTTTCCTGCCTGCTTGCCACCTCCTCCAGAGCTTGCCTCATCACGCCTTGCTGGCAACCCAGGGCTCTTGCCAGGTGAGCAGCAGCACACAGCTTGCGCTGGCGCCCGAGTTTCGCTGCAGCTCTCCTAGCTTTGCAGCAGTGTATTTTAGTAAACCGTTTGCACAAACTTACAATAATATTATCTTTAGCCGATTTCAAAGCCACCATGGGGCCACGACTCCAAGTTTCAGCACTGAAATCCTCGTGCTCCCTGGCTGCTGCGGAGGGAGCTCAGACCGACTTTCAGTCCTGAACCAGTGAAGTAGCTTACTTCATATGCAGTTAAGTATTTTGCCAAGATGTTATTTTAAAACAAAAGTTTGATCCACCCTTAACCTGTGTATAAAGTCTCCTTTGTAAGTAACGCAAAGATTGCAAGAAAAGCCTCAGTAAATGCATTTCTTAAGGAGAAAGCAGCTCAGGAAGTGCACCCAGCTTAAAGAAAGAGGAGATACCTCTTATTTTCTCCAGTCTGCCCTTTCTCTTTTTAATCCTGCACTGACATGCATAAACTTTTACACCTGTGCTGGGAAGCATCCAGCCCTTTACAGTTAACAGCTTCTCTTTTAGAAATAAAAAACCGTAAGATCTTCATCTGCATTGCATAAAAAAAAAATAACACGTCTACTTCAAGCACAATGCACACGAGTACTGTAGATGGGCCTAGGAAACTGTAATAAAAAGCAGAATAAATCCTGAGCGGTTGCATCAGCCAGCGACTCTGTGCACACATTAAAAGATTCTGAAGTGTCAGAGTCCAATGATTTCCTACTACGTGTGAAGTACTGCTGGGAAGCAAACACACTTCTAAAAAATCAGAGAAAACTTTTCCAGTATATCCAGCCTCTGTTTTATTATACCTAATCTTAGCACAAATTTTTATAAGAAGTTTTCAGGAACTTTCTTTTCTGTCTTTTTTTTCTCTCTCTTTTTTTTTTTCCTTTTTTAAAAACCTGAAGGAAGTCCAGAGTATGTCAAAAGCCAAGCAAATTAGATAGACTCTTTGTAGCTGCACATCCGTAAATAAGTTCAAGGGGGGAAACTTCCGCACTGACAGAAGGAGGTTAGCATTTTCCACCTTTCATGTGCTTTGAAGCTGGGCAGATTAGTAACAGAGCACTGGTTAGCAGTCTACCATAAAATCCTCACTTTCTAAGGGCAAGTCCTGTTCCATCTATTAATATGTGAAACAGAATGAAAATGCTTAAAGGTAAAGGACAACAGGAAAATACAGTTAAAATATCCCAAACTTTAATAAATACAAACCAAAACAACCCCCTTTCCCACCCCCCAAAACCCCATTCAGATAAGGCCACTTACACATCACTTTGATGTGTGTAAACTCTGTCAAACAGAGCTTCTGGAGCCATCCACTTTACTGGAAGCCGTCCCTGTAAGGGTGGAGGGGAAGGGAAGAAAAATTAAAATGGCAGCAACTTACAGGATGATTTCAACACTGATGTTTTTTAAAAGATTAATTAATGATCAGAGAACAGGCTGCTAATGCAAGCCAGCACATAATTTACCTTTAACATTTTCAGGGAAAATAAGTAAAATGCGATAAAGTAGGGAGACCATTAAGAAAAATGGTTATAAACGTTGAAGATAAATTTAAAAGCATTGAGGGCTCCCAGAAAGTTCCCAAACTGCATGCAGAACAATAGGATAAGCAGATGAAAATTAAAAAGATAATTCCACCATGGCTCTTTAAAGACAAAAAACCCCATCAATAATCCTCTGAAAAATAGACCTGCCTGCAAAAATAAGTTGGTTGCTAAACCCAAGAATTTTGTTTTCCTGTTCCACCTTTTGCAGTGGCCCAAAGCTCACACAGTTACAACTGCCTGCTGCTTTCCACACACAGTCTGCTCTGCTCAGAGCCCTGGAATCGCACTAAATTTGATATCAAGAAGGTTCAACTCGCTCCAGTACCGACACACCCATACCTGGCTGATCTCTCTCTTGGAAGTGGGCAGATATTACCATTAAAATGCCTTTAATCACTTAGTGCTTTATTTTAATAGATAAGCTACTTAACATTATTGTTAATAATTAAAATGAATATTAATAATTGATATACAAAATAATAAAGTCTGTAGCACTGAATGAGTTCTGCAAAGTTTCCATCAAAACCCAAGTGTAGCTCATCAGGATCTTAAGAGATGCCCTGAGAAGGAAGTGTAAGCTGTTCAAACTAGGCATCAATAACTACATCTGAAACGTTTTGCCTTCTTGATTTGGTACAGGTTAAACAGTGAAACGGTGACAGAGTGGGGAGTAAAAATCAAATTTCTCAACCTCTAGCACTACTTGGATACTAACATCATAACTTGTACCTAACAAGCTAAGTACAGGCAAAAGGCATAAAGCTGAATGTGGCATTACCACGCATAAACAGGATTTTTATTATGGTTATTGCTAGCAGTGTTTATACAGTGTTTTTCAAGAAACTGGGCTTGCTACAAAATGAGCTGGAATCAACAGGAATATTTCCACTTATTTCAAGTGATTGGAGTCAGGGACACACAAAAACCAATTCTTGTATTTTGGCATTTCTAACAAATCATACAATATACAGTCTCTGTGGTTATACTGGCACTGTAAGAGGAGACAGAAATGGTTATGTCCTTGATCCCCGTTTTCTGTCTGCAATGAAAAGTAAGGCTGCTGTACAAGAAGGCCATTAAGTTTATAACCATAATTTTGAAGTGAATTATTGAAAGAAACACTTGTTTCCAGAGGTAAGAAAACCAACCACTTACATTAGTAGTCTTTTTATAATAATCTATATTGTTGATGTCTCTGGCTAAACCAAAGTCTGCTATTTTCATGACATTATTTTCAGTTACCAAAACGTTTCTTGCAGCCAAGTCTCGATGGATACACTGGAAAGAAAAGAAAGGAAAAAAAAAAGACCCATTGAAATAAACTGTTGTAAAAGTGAAGTTACTTCTACACCATAACTAAGTCTCCTTTGCAGATTTTAACCTAAATCACAAGGTGGGAAAGTCACACGTTTACTACAAGCCTGTGAAATATGACGGTCTTAGTTACTGCAACCCATCCCCTCAGCTGGTGTTTCCAGGCTGAACTGCAGCCTCTTAGAAAAGCCTGGTTTATTTAAGACTTGTGTTTTGCTAAGGCTGAAAGCTTGGGTGGTGACCCGAACTGTGCCACGCTGTTTGTGATTCAATCGCTGTTACACACGCCCAGGTACCAGTATTGCAGCACTTCCATTGCAAATGTTAATGAGCATTTTATTACGTTGTTTCTCTTAAATTATATCATCTCACCAGAGCTGAAAACTGACGGTCTGGATCAGTGCAACTGTTTTTAATACAGAAGATCTTAATATGAGATATACCCACGGTATATAATTTTAAACTAGTTGTCTAAGGTGTGTGTATTTGCTTCAACCACAAAACCATAACAATTTAATTATGAAAAGGAAAAAAAAAACCCAAAACAATCTGGGCTCAGCTGTTTGCTTTTCAAACAGCTTTGATACTGAAACTAAACATGTTGTCTCCTCAGAGTTTTTTCCTTCACATCTTGCAACTGATTCTTGACACTAAAAAGACATTGTCACTGCTCTGGATACTATTCCTGTGCTTAAGAAGCCTTATTAGGGTTGATACAAGGTGGCAGCTACTTCTTTTCAAGTTAAATATTGCTTTCTTTTTTTTTTTTTCCCCTCCTCAATTTTGGATTACTCTTTATGTTGTCCTTTTTCTTTCAGAATGTGCATAGACATGCTGGACTGAACCACTACAAAAAAACCCCGTACAACAGCCAGTTTCTTTCCTGCATTATAACTTGCCCCAGCAATTTTCTGAGACCTCTTATCCTGCGTGGGTAAAATGAGCCTACAAAGCTTCTGCTCCTCACTGGGTTAGCCACAGGGAACTGCCAGGAAAAACCTGCTCCAGCAGTGCCTTCATGTGCACAGGACTAGACAACAGTACATGTTTTCAGCATCAAATCAGTCTTCTCCTTCAGCATCAGCAATGCGACAGTAGCAGAAACAACAATACAAGACAGCCTTCCTGCTTCCCTGTCCCCGTTCTCAAACCCTACAAGAACACCCTCTGTGACACTAGGAACTCAATTCAGCTGCCCAAACAGAAGTACACACTTCTCTCATCTCATCTGAGATGCCCTGTGACGAGACTACCAGGGACGACACAGGATCTACAGCAGACACGTGCCTTTACAGCGCGGCAGGCTGGGGGTATCACAGAGCATCTCAAATGGCATCTAACACCTCTGAGTGAATACGCCAAACGATTCAAACCCTGGTACCTTCTCTCAGTATAATTCTGCCTTCTCATGCCCTACAGTTTCACAGCTGAGACGTTTCCTATCTTCAAAACGGTGCCATTAGACCCCAGCTGGAGTACCGCATCCAGCTCTGGAGCCCTCAGCACAGCAGAGACATGGATCTGTTGGAGAGGGTCCAGAGAGGCCACAAAAATGGTCAGCAGGATAGAACTCTTCTGCTGTGAGGACAGGCTGAGAGCGCTGGGGTTGTTCAGCCTGGAGAAGAGAAGACCTTCTTGCAGCCTTCCAGTACTTAAAAGGGGGCTTAGAAACAGATGGTGACAAGACTTTTTAGCAGGGCCTGTAGCAATAGAACAAGGGGTGATGGTTTTAAACTAAAAGAGGGCAGATTTAGACTGGATAGGAGGAAGAAATTTTTCACAATGAGGTTGGTGAAGCCCTGGCCCAGGTTGCCCAGAGAGGTGGTAGATGCCCCATCCCTGGAAACATTCTAGGCCAGGTTGGACGGGGGTCTGAGCAACCTGCTCTAGTTGAAGATCACAGAATCACTAAGGTTGGAAAGGACCTTCAAGATCATCAAGTCCAACCATTAATCCAGCGCCACCATGTCCCCTAAACCATGTCCTGAAGCGCCACATCCACACGTTTTTTGAACACTTCCAGAGATGGTGACTCCACCACCTCCCTGGGCAGCCTGTTCCAATGCTTGACCACTCAGATGTTCCTGCTCATTGCAGGGGGGTTGGACTAGACGGTCTTTAAAGGTCCCTTCCAACACAAACGGTTCTATGATTCTATGATTGTTGTTTTCCACAACTGACAGGTTTCATAGCTGACCCTCTGACCCTAATAATCTTCTGTCTCTTCGCAGTGATCTGGGCCAGTCCCTGCATCTGGAGCTCCCCTGTCGTTCTTTCACAGTACTGGAACGATGGAGAGCACATGTCAACAGAATTTTAAGAAGCATCCATCCAACTTAGAAACAACATCTCATTTTCAATATACAATTGCTTGTAAGACAAAACTTTCTGTGAGGCAAAAAAACCTTCTTTACACATTTCTTTTTTCTTTTTTGAGGTCTCAGTGAGCCATTTATTGGACTGAAATAACAAGAACACTGGCCTTCTCACAGTTCCTGCATGATGGAAATACCGTGAGAAGACCAGCTCTCTTATTATTCCAGCTCAATAAATGGATCCCTACGGGGAAAAGAGCTAGTGAAACACAAACAGAAATGGTGGGATATCTGAAGAACCGGAATGCGCAGTTTTACTGTGCACCGCTTTGTTTTCCCTCTGCCTTGTGCAATGCCTCACATGCTGTCAAGTTCGGCGCAGCGCTGATCAACTGTTTTTCCAAAGGAACTGGATCAAGGATGAAATGGTTCTGCCATGTGCATCTGGGCGAGCACACACCTTCTTGGCAGTGTCCTACAACAGCACTTCAGAGCTTCTCAGGCGGACGCTTGTTCTCAAGATTTGCCAATCAAAAGATTTATTTTTTCCGTTCACAACAGTTCTATTTTCTTGGGACATGGCTCCTTGCCAGGCAAATGCTTTATTAGTCTTAGAAAGAGATATCCTAAGGTGCTTTACCTACTACAATACTCGCGCTTACTCCATTAGAAGATTTCGTCTCGGTGTCATGCATGTCATGCTGTCTACCTTACTATGCTAAGAATTACTGTTTCAAAACAAAAGAATAAAAGCAAAATTAGACTCCAATTCCCCACCTCCCTAACCTCTACAAGTGCAGAAAAGCAGTAAAATAAAATCATGACTCCATGCAACAGGACTGGAGGTTTACACTCAGTCTTTGATTAAAAACAGTACCATACTTGGGAGCGGGCACAACTGGAAATCAGTATAAATCCCACTAACTACTTCACATCTTGAAGGAAGTCCTTATCATCAATATCTGGTGCTCTGGTTTAGACACTGGGTCCAAACACCACCCAGGGCATTCATGATTGCCTCTCCACCAAGCCACAATGTTTACAGTTAGTTATACAGGACTATTTAAGGTTTCATAACCATAGCTTAACCAAATTACTGGTTAAAAAAAAAAAGTGTTTCAAGAAAAAAAATGGAGAAGTAAGTGTCTAGAGACGTGACAGGACAAAAATTCTTTCAGCAAACTTGCTCTCCTGTCAAACACTAGTTTTAAGTAAAGCACATCATTTAGAGTGACTAACACATTCCACTTATTTTTGCCTTTTCTGTTTAACGTTTCTCCCTGGCATCTTGTGCTCTTCTCAACTCTGCCTGTTATCATTCTGTAAGTCCTTTCACGAACCGAATTAATGTATTTGCCATCACTACGTGAGCAGATTTGGTTGATTTGACTGGAAACAGGAGGCAAATGGTGCCTGCTTTCTCATGGGTGGAATAATGTGACTTGTATAATCATGAGCTACCTGTGCTTATGAATTCAAAATGCAGATATGTACACGATACTTAAATGATTCATTCCGGGCCATTTTAGCAATGTCATTAAACAGACTAACAACTTTAAGCATATGAATTTTCCCACTGATCTTCAAGTGTATGGATTATGCAACTTGTTTGAGAAAGGTCCTTCTCCCAGCAAATTCCTGAATGTACATGAGATGAGAACAAGGCTAGGAGTGCTGAACAAATACGCACCATGTTCTTTGTGCTGTATTTGCCAAGTTCTACTTACTTTTTGTGAAGCCAGGTACTCCATGCCTCTTGCCAACTGGTATGTGCATGACACTAAGTCCTTGAATGTCATCTGCTCTTCTGGTACCCTGTTAATATCAAACGAATACTCCATCCCCGGGGGGCGGCGTGCTCGCAGGTACTCACGCAGGTTTCCTTTGGAAGCATATTCTACTATCACGTACAACGGACCTTTGGATAAACAGAACCGTGTGAAAACTGGAGTAAGGTTAAAGGGTAAAATGTTTTGATGTAAAGAATCTTCTTTTAGCATTCTATAATAAATGAACTAAATTAATAGAAGTTTAACTGCGAAATCAGTAAGCACAACTTGAATGAAGAGGAGGTCCGGACTTGGCGAAGTGACTGGCCCAAAGCTCCATAGCAGGATAGTGGCAGAGCTACAACTAGTGGCTAAAAGTACCTAATCCCTGACCTGGTGCCTATTCCTTCCAGACCATGCTGTGTACTGAAAAGCAAGCATTTTCAAATCAAAAAACGCCATGAGATCTCAAACAAGGGGTAAGTGCTTCTTAAGATTTTTTAATTTCCAGAATTTTATGCCATTCTGCATCGCTTTACATGACATAATTAGTGTTAATAAAAACACTGTGGTCTTTAGAGAGTAAAAGTGCTCATTTCAAATTCATGGGATACAAGTTCCACTAAAACAGGACTGATAATTCAGAACAAGGGGCATGGGTAAAGCCACTGTAAAAAGCAATTTTTTTCCCCCTACAGTAAGGGATTAGAGAGTCTTCATACGATATAGCACCCTTTCTCATATTAAAGCTGCAAGTATAACGAGAGACAGAAGTTAAAATCTTGCTCCTAAGCTGGGGAAATATCTAAAAATCCCATCACGGCATGACTGTTTCCTTAAAAACTCTTGAAAAATTATGATTAATGAGACTTCCGCAGACCTGCTGGAAAGTCCTGGCTTACTTTCTTTTCTCTACTCACCATCCTGGGTACAGGCTCCAAGGAGATTGATGATATTTTTATGCTTCCCAATCATCTTCATCATCTCCATCTCTGACACCAGGTCAGATAGATCTTTTTCTGTAGCATCATCTGTACAAGACACAAGTTTGGTTCATATTTTCTAGTGTGCCAGCCCGAACTCCACTGAGGCTCACCAGCTGGTGTAAAACACATGTGCTTCAAAATGCAGAATATGGGACTTGTTTTCCAATATACGCTATACAGTCATATGCTATGTCCTAACAAAAAATAGTCTCAACCTCTTTGATAGACTGACCACCCCTTCAGTGTTATGTGTTAAGAGGCAACACAATAATATCAGACATAAAAATGTTGTCCTTAGTTATCAAACCTCCAATATCTGTGCCTTTGCTGCAAACTAACCTTACAATTAAATTGAAAATAAATAGGCACCAGCCACCTGGACTGAATGGGCTAGGATCTACACGTGGACAGTCTCTGACATGAACTAAACTAAAAGCAGAGAGACCCACACGATGCTAATACATCTCCTGGCTCCTAAATACTCACTGCTTAAGATAAACAGGCTGTCAAGGGCGCAGATTTACACCCCAAACTGCTGAAGGCTGAGGTCAGCTATGTGCTCTTTGACCCCCCCCACGATGACAGAGTTCAGACGCCACAAAAGAAACTTTGTGGATGAGAACTGCCGCACCGCCCATCCCGATCCCTAATCAGCCCATTTTCTTACCTTTCAACATCTTCACTGCCACAGTCACTGCTTCTTTTGGCCTGTCTTTGTCAATCCCCACCGCTTCAGCCATGACGACTTGCCCAAAGCAACCTTCTCCCAGGGGCTTACCCAGCGTCAGCCTAGAGGTGTAAACAGGAGATTAACACACAGCATCTGGTGAAGGGATGCAGCCAGTGAAATTCCAGGGCTAAATATAAAAAACTTTCAACAACTTGCTGTAGCATGAAGCATTTATCATATGGAACTAATGAGACTCTGGGTGCGCATCGGTTTTCATGTGCACTGCAGCATGTTTTCTTAGAGTCGGTATAGCAAGCATCTCTCATGGGCAAATCAGTTGCTAAACCCAGCTTTTAAGCTCTCCCTCTCCTTGTAATAAGAGGCTGTACTCGGTGGCTAGCGGCAAGACACAGCATGGAGGAGCAGAGCCTTCAAAAAGCATCAGCCTGCGGCTGAAATTCAGGAGCAGGCAGCAACACGCAGGCTGCTCCGGTCACTGTAACGCGGACAGTCATCTTCTTTTTCACGCTGACCGCAAGGAGATGAAAGAAAAGTTTCTTTGTGTGTGTTGCCACGTGGTCGCTGTCAAGCAGCTGATGATTTCTATGGGAAAGGGTGGTATTAAGAGCAGGGGGATGTTTTAAATATTACTAACTCCTGTGATATAATGGCACTGCGCAGACAGAAAGGAAACTCAAACACGCTCTCGGGCAGGTTAATTTTAGCTCAAAATTCGTATTCTTGCTTTCTGTTTGGGGATGCAGGCCACGAACATTTGCCTAACGATCTCTTGCGCCGAAGGGATTAGACAGGACAGAGACAGAAAGCCAGGAGACACCATTTGGGCGCAGCTGTGGGTAATTATCACACCCATTTCTCTTTCGTGTGGCTGATGAGGTGGCCAGACAGCCGCCTTCTTGTGGGAGAGAGGAGGGAGGATGAAGGAGGGAGAAGGGGAAGGGAAAAGAGGCGGCAACAAGCATACGGCGGAGGCTCGGGAGGGGTTACGGCTGCGAGAGCCTGGGCAGATGCCCGCGATGCTCACGTGCCCTGCGCAGCCCGCGGCCCCGCTCTCCTGCTGCGGCGCACGCGGAGGCGAG